TTTTTCTTTCCTTTTGTAGAGACAGGGTCTTGCTTTGTTGCCCAGGCTGGCCGTGAACTCCTTGGCCAAGTGATCCTCCTGCTTCAGCCTCCCAAAGTGCTGGGATTACAGGCGTGAGCCCCTGTTCCTAGCCAGCTGGGTTATTTTTCATTCTGTCTTGTGTACTTGCCTCAGTACTTACCATTGGCTCTGAGAACTGGAGAGGGGCTGCTCTGCTGCTAGGTCCAGTTCACTCTTATCAGGACCATTTGCTGTGGATTTACAGAGTTGACTCTTCTGGTGTTGGCGGATCATTTCTGCCAAGGTCTCTTGGACTTCAGCAACAGTTCTCTGTGAGTTTTGGAGACTGGCATGCTTTTCTGAAAGGAGCGCCTTAAATGTGCTCAGTATTCGCTCACCTTCTTCTGTGAGTTTCAAGTCTAGTTCTGAAGGCCTGCTTGGCTCTGGCTGAGAAGTTTCAGGGTCAGTTTCTTCAGTGCTGATAGTGTCTAACTGCTGGCTTGGCTTAACAGAGAGTGTGCTGTGACCAAGCCTTACCCAGACACTGGAATTTGGGCAAGGCCTGGAGAGAGACCACCAGAATTCATACAGACGCCCATAAAGAAAAAATGCCTCCAAACTTCTGAAAGCTGGTATGGCAGGGGATTGATGGTCACCCAATTTGTCTTTTAGGTGTTCACAGCCTAGGAAAAAAAGAAAAAGATTTTGGGTTGTGCGTTTCTCTAGTTGCCAGAAATCTAGCTTTCTGTCCTTATGTTCTACTTCTTATCACCCAAGAAGCATACTCCAAGAAAAAAGATAATGGTGTGATCCACAGGGCCACATGCCTTTCCACCAAGAGCCAACTGGAGGCTAAACAGTTCCTGGCTTGGGACAATGTTCTCATTACTACATCCTGGGAGTCATTCAAAGCATGACAGAGTATTTCATTTGTTCTACTGAAGGCTCTGGGGCCACACTGAGGTAAGATCACACTGTCTCTCTGAAAAATCACAATGATTTAGTTCAGTGACTGACTGTGCAGCTCAAGGAATGTCTACCTTTTTGCTGTTCTTACTATAACATGTAACTATATTCCTATTTCTCTCTCCCTTAAACTGACTGTGTGGAAAGTGGACAGGAGGCACTAAGGGGGTAGGTCCAGGTAAAGGAAAACAGTGTAGCTGTTCTTAAGAGTATGGGTAAGAGAATTCAAACTTTCTACTAAAATGACACAGCTGGCCAGTCCCCATCTTTTTTTTTTTTCTTTTTTTTTATTAGCTATACTGCATTAGTCTCCATCTGTTAATAATCTCAGTACTCTCAGTGCCACACCACTAGTGGTGGTGATGCTGTCCATTAAAGCATGCGCCTCAGGCAGGGGGGAGTCATTTACCGTCAGGGAGAAAGGCTGAGTACACTTCCTGCATGATGGTGAAGCTCCCCGAGTCATAGCTCCGGACCACTGCCCGAAGGAGCGCCTGCACAGCCTCGTCCCAGGAGGCCATCTGCTGGCTCAGCACTGCCAGGGTCAAGTCATGGCAAATGTGAAGCAGGAGCTGGAGAGAGAAGCCAGAGTCTGAGTTAAATATCCTCACAAAGTAGGTGCCAAGGATGCCACCAAACTGTTCCTATTAACCACAGATGGAAACAAGTACACACAATTCACACTTACGAAAGTTCCTCTTGTCTCCACCACCCATTTTTGTTTTCCCCGTCAGAAACTCTGTCTAGCTGCACAGCAACACACACATAACGCTGTTAAAGTCTGTTCACACTGAGGAAGCACCTTTACATTTGCATTTAATTAAAACAAAAAGTGAGTTTCTAGAACTAAAAGCTATAATTAAAAACAAAATAAATGCTAGGTGCAGTGGTTCACACCTATAATCCCAGCACTTTGGGAGGCTGAGGTGGACGGATCACCTGAGGCCAGGAGTTCAAGACCAGCCTGGCCAACATGGTGAAAGTCCGTCTCTACAGAAATCCAAAAATTAGGTGAGCATAGTGGCATGCATCTGTAATCCCAGCTACTTGGGAAGCTCAGGCGGAAGAATCATTTGAACCTGGGAAATAGAGGTTGCAGCAGGCCAAGATCGTGCCACTGCACTCCAGCCTGGGCGACAGAGTGAGACTCTGTCTCAAAAAATGAATAAATAGGGCCGGGCGCGGTGGCTCACGCCTGTAATCCCAGCACTTTGGGAGGCCGAGGCGGGTGGATCACAAGGTCAAGAGATCGAGACCATCCTGGTCAACACGGTG